CTGTAGCTAAGGGTCGTGGCATTAGGAAGGTTGAGAACCACTGCCCTAGGGGAATCATTTATGATATTTTGTAAAAAAGGCTATTGATGTCTTTAAAGAGGACCGGGGGACATATATGTTGGGTTCTGACTCATAGAGACCCCCAACAGCACAAAAGGAAACACCACTACATATGGCGCCATCCTCACAATCGTTCCTCTGCCTGAGCTCACTGTTGCAGCCCCTGGGACAATCCATCTCCTGAGAGGCGTCCGTTGTTTCCCCGTCCCTCCACTTTTCCAAGCAGGATATCCCTTCTCCTGGACGGAGCTCTCCTGAGAGCATCTACAAAAACACTTGAGACAAAGTCTCACCAGCCTTGCCTTTTGGGAGCACTCTGCCTGTACTTCTCCCAAGACAGATGTGTTTGTTCTTTAGGCAATTCGTGGGACTTTCAATTTCCTCCCCAACACCACAGTTCAAAGGCATCAATTCTTCTCAACCTTTCTTCCTCAATGCCCAACTGTCACATGCATATGAGGTGACAGAAAATACCGTAGTGAAAAAATTAAACAAACAAAAAGAACACAGCATCGTCTGGTGCACCTTAGTGCTTAAAGTAACATCCTTGCTTTTCAACACTTCAAAAAGGTCTTGCGCAGACTTACACCATGCAAGGTGTCATTTGATCTCTTGACGCTGCTTCGAGAGGAACCCTGATTGTGGACTCAAGCAAGACGACTTGACAACTTCAATCTTGTCTCTGTCTATCATGATGTTACCTATTGGCTTATGGTGAGGGTTCTGGTTTTCTTCACACTGAGTTGTAATCCACACCAAAGGCTGCAGTCCCTCACCGCCATCAGCCAACGTCAGACTTCAGTACCCACTAGCCTGTCTGCCCTGCCGTCCCTCTCAGCTTCCTCAGCCCGGTCTCACTCCTTGAGCGCCTGCTGCTTCCGGTCCATCAGCTTCCACATGACAGGGGAAGCCTGGCTCGAACAGGACTGGACTTCCCTGTTTTACAACTGTGTGAGCCATTTCTTGATACAAATCCCTTTCTATATACAACACATACAAGTGTCACTGGTTTTGTTCCTCTATAGAACCCAACTTCACACATTCTAGGTTTTTTTGGTAGATCTCTTTATTTATTTAATAATGTACCTTTTAAATTTTATTTATTTATTTATTTTTAAAAATTATTTTACTGGGGGCTCGTACAATTCTCATGACAATCCATACATCCATCCATTGTGTCAAGCACATATGCATATTTGTTGCCCTCATCATTCTCAAAACATTTGCCTCCCACTCTAGCCCCTAATATCAGTTGTTCATTTTCCCCCTCCCTCCCCACTCCCCCCTCCCTCATTCTAGTTTTTATTATTTCCACTTTCTTTTTCATTGAGTGTTTTCTGTTGTTGTTAATGTTGCTATTTTGTATGTTTCTCTTTATGTGAAATTCAGAATAGGTAAATCTATTAAGACAGTAGCTGGTTTCATAGTTTCTTTAGGATTATGGCAGGGAAAGTTGGGAGCAAATAGGGAGCTAATAATAATTAGTACAAGAAAGAAGAAAATGAACAGCAGCAAAGTAGATAAAGGGAGACAGTGGTTGGTGTAAGACATAAAAAAACCATAAGTATAAATTATGAAGGGTTCATGAGGGAGGGAGAGTGGGGGATGGAGGGGAAAATGAGGAGCTGATACCAAGGGCTCAAGTAGAAAGAAAATGTTTTGAAAATGATGATGGCAACATATGTACAAATGTGCTGGACACAATGTATGTATGTATGTATATATGAACTGTGATAAGAGTTGTAAGATGTCCCAATAAAATGAAAAAGAAAGAAAGAAGAAAATGTACGGGTCACAAAGAAGAGAAGAGCCAGTCAGGGTGCAGGATAGCATCAATGAAACATACAACTTTCCTCTAATTCTTTAATGCTTCCAACCCCCCATGTCTACCTTACATGACCTTAGTTCTACTTTACAAATCAGCTAGAACAGAGCATGCACACTGGTATGGATAAGCGTTCACAACTCAGGGAATCCAGGACAGATAAACCCCTCGGGACCAATAATGAGAGTAGTGATACAAGGAGGGGAAGAGGAAGGTTGGGGGAGGGGAAAGGAGGAACTGATCACAATGATGACATATAACCCCCTCCCAGGGGAATGGACAACAGAAAAGTGGGTGAAGGGAGACGGCAGTCAGAGTAACATGAAAAAAAAAAATTTATAAATTATCAAGGGTTCATGAGGGAAGGTAGGTGCGGAGGGAGGGGAAAAATGAGGAACTGATACCAAGGGCTCAAATAGAAAGAAAATGTTTTGAAAATGATGATGGCAATATATGTACAAATGTGCTTGACACAATGGATGGACGTATGGATTGTGATAAGAGTGGTAAGAACCCCCAATAAAATGATTACAAAAAGAAAAAAAGAAAAAATGTTCTAAATCTGATGGTGGCGATGACTGCATAACTCTCTAATATGTTTAAACCATTGCATTATGGGATGTGTGAATTATGTCAATAAAACTATTATTTTAATTTTAAAGAGAGAGAGAGCAAGCCTGGAAATTGAACTTTCATGCCATAGGTGTAGTTTTGCAAGTTATCTCCATTCACCTAG